AAGGAAGCTAACTGCTACCCGAAGTTAGCACGCAACTCATGGCGGATTGTCTGCTGTTCGGCGTCCATACCACTAACTCACAGCCTATCAAACGTCGACCAAGTAGAACAGGTTTAATCACCTCTTGGTTTCAATTTGGGAGAAATGGTCATTTGCACTTAATAGTAACAATATATACACAACAATTGTGTAGCATTCTAGGGAAAAATTAGCATATATCACCGATATATGGGAAAATTAATCACTTCGCTCGAACATTCTCCGACAAAATGACCTACAAGTACAAAACACCCAGCGCACTCCAATAATATATTGGTTTCGTGTTTGTCAAATACTAAGGGATGAATAAATGTGGGTGTTCTACAACTGTTTGGTGCGGAAAATCGAATTTATTCAGTAATATTGTTGCATTATGATCAGAAAACTACACAGGGCAGTGCAAATGTAATTCTCTGTTTGACGTCACTTTAAATAAAAAAGCAAGGAGCTCTTTAAATATTACAAACTATGCAAATCATGTATTAATGTTTCAAATATCACAATAAAGACAGAAACAGAATTATTCAGTTCAAATGTAATCAAACAGCATTTTTGACATGTTTTCTTTTAACTTGTTTCTAAACAGTTTTAGATTTACATCATTGCACAAATTGAATGTACATATAGACTAATGTATTTCTTCCATTACAGGAGTAAACTATCGAGAAATGCATCACTTTTTTTTCTAATTGTAACTTTGTTTCAAATCCTAGGCGCGCGTGAACGCCAAACAAAGAATCACCTCAACTCAACTATTTCACCATTCAGTGTATGAATAAAGCTTAAAAAGCTAGCGTTCTTCGGGCGTTAACAATTATTATTTTTGTCAACTATTTCGACAATCAGTATTTAAAAAGAAATGCATTAACAATAATTGTTTGTTCCACATGGTCAAAACCACGGCCTATTCCTTGTTCATACTAGCTAAGCAAATCATCGCAGATAAGACTTTATTTAAAGCGAGAGGGTCGTCACTTGCGCACGCGCGGGAATTGAGTCCAAAACTATGATAACAACAGACGCTAAAACGCAAATAATTCATGGTTAGACGATTGTTTGTAAACATTGACACGCTATGGCCACCTGACGCATGTGCGGGTGACAACTTCCCCGCTTTAACTAATTCACTGTGTTGAGTGGACATGAATATCCACTATGTTATTTATGTATATGTTAGTTTGACGCCATTTTCATTCATTATTCTTGATATCGTCTGATCAAAAAGTTCATTCTGTGAAACAGTGAAATGAGATTTCCAGTCCCCGACACGACCCTTACGGAAAGACGGTCCTCCATTCCACAAAGATTCTTCGTCTCAGCGTGGCATGAACTTTACATCGTCTCCAGCCTCTTTCATTGATTGGAAATCACTTCGTTTCAAAGCTCGTTTAAGTTGATCGTCATCAACTGGGCGAGAGAGAAACTGGGATATTTTAAATGCGACTGACTTCAGATCTGCCCTCATGTCTTCATATGCCACGTGAAGTACGCCATCATCCACTCCAAAACGTTTCCATCCGATCACGTGATCGGTCCAGGGACCAAAAACTACGTCTCCCCTGACGAAGCGCGTCACAAATTCATCCCATGTCCAATTTTTTACTTGTCAGAATTCAGAAAATGAAACATGGAAACGCATACATCCTTCGGGTTTCTAGTAATGTAAATGATCTTGCATCTTGTAGTGTTCTCCCTCTACGCGGAATGAAAGAATTCGACTGGTACATGACTGTACATTAATCGAGGTGATGGCATTTCGTGCAATGTCGTCTGCACTGCTTTCACATGAATTGCGTAATTTCCGGTGAGTAAATCTGCATTCTCATAAAAATAACACGCTCTGGCAGCTAGATTTGTAGGCTTAAGCTGCCAATTTAAATCGGGAAACATTTCAGATACAAGTTGTAGCATCCAAGTCGTCCCAGATTTGGGAAACGTAGTGATGATGACGTCATCTTCTCGGTTATCCCATACATTTATGCGTCTGTTTTTTACTGCCTCCCTGTTATGGAACCCACCAACGAAATTAAAACCATCGTGCTTAAACACAGTCCACGGATTCGCCATTATTTCTGGAATAAAACAGATGCTATGTTTTATGTAGTATGTAGTCAACTAGCCAAAGAGGCTGTGGGTGCACAAAGCTGTTAGATTGAGGTTTTGCGAGTGGGCGGGAAATAATCCATAGATTTGTGGCCTGGGAGAGTTTACACATTTGGGTGGGTAGTTTCATTTCTGAGCTGAGCGGGTAAAATTTATTTTGCTTAGGGCGGGAGATTTTCGCGCGTTTGAGTGTTTTTGTTTTTATTCTTTATGTAGTTTACAAAACAGCACAGAAAACTCCCGAAGTCCACTCGGACACGTGTATTGTGTTCTGACCACCGCATAGCCTGGGATCCCTTAGCGAGTAGGACATTCGTTTTCTTTACCCATTGTAACGACCATTATTTTGTTACTTTCCGTCTGTGAATGCAGAATCTGCCAAAGAAGTTTGGTTGTGGGAGGGGAATGTACGCACCACATTCCATAGTGGGAGGACACTGAAGAGAGAAGAGGAAGGGCACATCCGAGCAGCTTTTGGTGTAATTCAATTTTCGTTAATGACATTTAAAATTGATAGAAACAACTACATGAGAATTATGTAGAAATTTAAATGGAAATGTGTAAAATCGCTCTTTAGCTGCTCCTTGTGTCTCCTTTCAGAGCAGTTATCATGGTACAATGGGTACGTTGTACGTTGACCGTCTACTGTGGCAGTCTTTTTCCGTCACCGCATGTTTGAATATTTATGACCCTGTAGTACCAAATCTACAAGTGGTAGTTAAATTATTTTAATGTGAACTCGTAGTCTGACTACCGTTTATTCATTGAGTGTACGTGATGATATGATGAATTTGCATATATCTATATTAACTGTGAATAATGACAAAAATAAATTTTATATGCATAAACCCGGTTTTTCCATTTATACACAATATTTTATTTTATTGAAAAAACAAACAAGAGAAGTCTACGCTTAGATGAAAAGTAAGGAAATTTGTTAGCAACTGTATTCATCGTATTAATAATGTTATCATAATAGGACAAAATGATGAGGTTTATGCTGATAGCTATTAACACTGTTAGCATTTAACATTGTTTAGTTAAAGCGCGGTGGTCGTCGCGCTTTGTATTGATAAAAATTGATTTAAGCGAGGGTTCTCCGAACCCGCCTATTCACATAGTCATACCCACCATAGACTCCGGTCAGTCAAAATGACTATTTTGAACTGTAGGAAGAGTCAGACGCCGATAGGTGGCGGGTTTTCCGACCAAACAGAAAAGTGATGAAAAGTCTTTTCCCAGTCCGGGATGAATCACTCAACACCCTGGTTAAGACACAAAACAGGGTGGTGTTTCTTACCTTGCCTGTGCTGTCCCCGGAGCAAGAAGCCAAAATGCTGCTACCGTGACAGGGTTTGATGTGCCCAAGAAAGCTAGACCCCAACCCAATTCTGGGAGGTAGTAAGCTTTCGAAGTAAAGACCAAAACAGTTCTGCATGCGGGCATAGACCGCAAAGCAGGACCTGGGAGCTTCCAGGGGCGTGCTGATGTTAGAGAAATCTGCCCGCATAAAATACCGAGACTGACTTATTGCCTATGCGGAGGGACCCTTGCGGTCGTTCGGGCTGGGTCAGCAAACCAAGACTGACCTGCTACGATGGGACCCAACCTAGAGAGACCTTACTCAATGGATTCAGTGTCTCTTAGGTGGTAGTTGATAAAGACGTTCTGCATTCTCCAGCAGCCTGCCCTCCATGTGTGCGCGAGGGAGGGGGCTGACGCTAGCACTAGCGAGTTAGCAATCACACAGACCTCATGCGCTCGTACTTGGTGTCTCTGCAAGCTCTGTGTTGAGGAATATAAAGTATTAGACCTCTAATACAGTTGCAGTAAACCACCTGGTTATGGAAGTTGGGAAGGCTGGCCTATCCTGCCTGCCTGGGCCATAACACAAAGATATGTGCCTGGCATCCCATCCCAAATCCTTAGTACGGTTTGGTGGCAACTCAGTGCTAGAACCGGGCAGAGAAGCAATTCCTCTGACCCTCCGGGCAGACAAAAATTTGACAGCCGGGGATGACGATCGGGTGAGGATCGTGTCCTGGGATCAGCTTCTAGGTGAGAAACCTGATTCGTGTCTTTAGCACAACTTGATAATGGCGGTACATCATCCGAGAAGGACAATGCCCCCAGCTCTGGCAGATGCCTACCTGAGGCGAGGGCCAGTAGGAAGACTATTTTCCACATCAAAAATTCGAGTGGTGCTGATCGGAGAGGCTCAAAGGGCGGTCTGCTTAGAGCGGACAATACAGCCGACAAGTCCCAGTTGGGCAGTTCCCTTGTATGGGGTCTCAGCGTCTGGAAAGCAGTAAATAGTCTCCTAATAATAGGACAATCCGCTAGTCTTGACACAAGGATAAATTCGTTACCGTTGTATCATTACTGCGTGACGAACCCTAGCTGGCTGAAAGTAGGGGGGGGGGTGTGCCCTGCCCTGAAAACTCTGCCCGAGATCGGAGGCTTGGCTGCCAGCACCCCGTTGGGATTCAGAGTCCAAGGCTCCAGAGGAAGCCTTGTGCAATTAGCCTGAGCCTTGGCCTCACCCAAAATTAGTGGGAGAGCCGTGGCTGGGAACGGGGGTTCCCCAGAAGAGACGTGTTTGAATGCAAACTTGCTTTCGTGTTTCTTCCTGCTTGCCCACCGAGGGGCCACAGTGGAGACAGCTCGCTCCGACTGCGTCTGATCTACCCACCCTGCCAGGGACGCAATTGCCCCGACAGTCCTTCGACCAAAGCCCTCAACTCGGAGGCAAGCCCCGTGTCAGGGAGGAAGGGTCCACAAAGGGACCGGCAACGGGCCCCATAGGAGGAAAGCCTCCAGGGGCACAGCCTTGCTGCAGCCGGTAAAATCGGGTAAACTATCACCTGAAAAAACAGACTGTGAGGATGCCCTCCAATGATTTCTAGACGACCCGGCCCTAGTCGATTGCGACCCTGGTAAAAACACGCGTTCAGGCCCTGGTTTGGATGTTCCGGCCCTGGTATAAATTATATTCGATACGTGTTCGTATCTAATGTTAATATATTAAATGCATGAATGTTTGACTATCTTGTTTAACACTTATTTTTCGTCTTTTGCAGGGCATTTTTCACGATATAACACCACGTTTGACAGTGCAACAGATGTATGTTCATTTATTCGCCGCCGCCAGCGTGAACCACAGTCATTAGAATACACGTGTGGAAAAAGCCAGCTCCTAGGGGGAGCCGGTGTTAAAAAAATACGTGAAAACAGACAAGAGACGGCGTTGTGCCATCTTAATTGAAGCCGCACTAAAGGTGGTGGTTTCGAGCCAGCATCCCGGTCTAAACAAGACCTTGTAATACGTGTAAACACTTGAAGCCGTCTTTGAAGAGCGCCATCACGCGACCAGCCTCTTTCTGACGCTTAACTTTCACATTCTGTCTATTCTCGGGGGGGGGGGGACATCCGGGCATTTTCAACGCATGGCAACCATCAACAAAGGCCGAAAACACTCAGAAAATGGCATTTTGTGATAGTTGTTGAGACTCCCCTGAACAGTGTAACAAGATTACCTTTGTGTGTGTAACGCATATAAATTTGATTGTTCAGGATTACTTCAAAGTTGAGTTCATGTTGTTTTCTTGAATTTTCCCGGGCTCTTCGCTCGGCGTTCCTCCAGCAGCGAGCGCAGAACCCGTAGAAATGCGTGGTACGGTGGTGCGCATCTTAGCAACGTGGAACGTCTTGTGATGTTGCTCCGCCCCGAGGATAGTATTCTCTGCTTTTCTACTGAAGAGGGCAAAAAATGATGACGTCTTTTGTAGCACTTATTGTTATTGCTGCCAGTCGGCCATATTTGTTCAAATAACGGAAAAATATGATGATCATCATACCAACTTTGATCCAAATCTATCTCTGAGAAACTGCTGCGGACACATTTGGGTATCAGAAATAGTAAATTTTACATCATAAAGTAAATGGACACACATATGTAAGACACTATGTGAAGTTTGAATGAAATCCGTCAATGGTTGTTCGATATATAGCTCCAGACGTACGTACGTACGGACTGACAGAACAAACCCAAATTAATAGTCCCCATTTTCGGACTTCATCCGAACGTGGACTAATAAGTGGTTTCATGGTCGTATCTAGCCTGACGAGGTCGCGTGAGTTGCGCCCTCTTCGGTGCTAGGTCGTATCTAAGTCAATCTAACTTGCAGTATTCAAGAAGAAGTCAAAGGTTGACACAGACAATTTGTAATATGAATAGCTCCGCTCGACAAAGTCAAGTTATCTTGAACACCAAACCGCCAAACTTAGCTCAATAACTCACCTTCCATTACTTGACCCTTTTTTGTCATAACTACATGCTCAATAACTTAGCAACTAAGGATTTTAAAACTTGACTGATAATATGGTTACAATGGGGATAACTGATATTGTAACAACCAAATACGAGTACATGTATATGTAAACTAACAATACCAATTCATTCAACAGTTCTGGAAAATTTGAAATAAACAACAAAAATCACATCTTATGTTTTATTACATAATATTATACAGATACTTCACAATTTTCATAAAAATAAAAAAAAGTGAATATTTTGTACATAAAACCATCACAAAACACATTCATTATCCAACATTGGAGACGATTTGTATCAATATTTATTATCTTGCTTACATATGTATATACATAAAATAGATTTATGAATTTACAATCAAATACAATTGTTACAGTAATATACTACATCAACCCCGAAATTATCTTTTTCGATTTCCTTTAAATTTGCTGTGAATGGTAATAAATTAATGATTTAAGAAAAATTGATTTTTTTATTGGAATCTGGCATTTAAATGATAATTTCTCCTCAACTTTGGTCATAATTTGGCTGGACAGGAAACATTTCTAAAATTTATTACTACCGGTATATACTAACAGAAACGTGATATAACTTGTGATCAGTTTCTAGAGATTAATTACAAATAGAATTATACTGTGTGATTCATGTGAAACAGAACAATTCAATTTAACAATGTTCATTGATTACGGACAATGCATGACGTAAATTTCACCAGGAAATTCCGCAGTGTGCTCTCGCAATCGCGGACTTAGTCATTTTTACAAGGTTCACCATTTTTGATGTCACGTGATAATTATGTAAACAATGTCTGTCTAGTTTGTGCGAACTTGCATCTCTATACTTAGTCTTTTGATATATATAACCTAAATTACTGTTCTGAAGGAGACAACAGACAGAGAATGTTTTATTTAAAAACGTCACAAAACCTTCTCGCTACCTTAACATTAGTAAGGAATGGAGGTATGTATGCTTCAAAATTCAAAATGTTTTCTAGTTTCCTTCCTTGGTTGTTAAATTCGATTTTTGTGTAATACTAATAGTGGCAAGAAAGTAAATTGTACTCTAATAAAATCTCTAGTTGTTACTATGGGAACAGACTTAGATTAGTTTGCATCTGTACGGGTAATTGCATAAATAATGCCACAGAACTCCAATAAAAACATGGCATAGTAAATCAGTGGACGGTG